CAAGAACCATTCGAGTCACAGAATTCGTTTTGGCATCGTTGGATAGAGAATTGAAAAGTCGATTCAGTCGTAACAACGTGAGTGAGGAAATTCGAATAGTTTTGACTCAGAACGTGAAATTTGAATATCACACTTAGGTGCAAGATTATGCCAAAATTTAATGTTTTCCGTCCCGTTTTTGCTCATTTCTCGGAGGCAAAAGGAGCAAGAACGCTCATTTCTACGTCATTCTAGAGAGAAATAAATGACCTTTTTAGCAAGTGAACCATGAATGGGGAAATGTTGGCAGTTTTCTCAAAAAATGCTTGAATTCAAGAAGTTTTAGATTTGCGTGTTTTTTTTGTTGAGTTGCAAAATCCACGAACATCACGCTGCTTTTTTCGCAGTTTTTGAAGAACCATTCGAGCCAGAAAATTCGTTTTGGCATCGTTGGAGAGAGAATTAAATGGGGGGTCATGACCCCGATGACCCCCCTTGGATCCACCCTTGATTGCGACTGGTTCTGGGGTTCGGGAGGACGTCGAACACTCCCGGCCCGAAAACATGTTTCTTTACCGGCACCATAACTGCCATAAGTGGGCTTTAATGTGATTTATCTGAACGTGAGCCGATAAAATTCAAGACCAATGTCGACATTCCGAAATCGCGTTATCAGCATAAATGATTGTCGCTTCGGTGCGTAGTGAACAGATGTGGGATTGAAACATTCTTGACCTGCCCCAAGCGCTAAACAGCGCTAGAAAATGGCGAATAGCCGTTGGTCAGGTAAAAATACACACATTGAGTCTTCAAACATTGTTATTATTGATCAGCTCAACAGCCTTACATAGTCATTGACCATATCTGGGCCCATGTCGATCATACTTCGCCGTATCCAGTCGATACGTCCAGGCACTTAGTGCCGGCTGATTAGGTTCCCCCAAAGGGTAAACAACACATTTGCTGGCACCACAGGCAAAAACAAAACTCCACACTAACGTTATGCACTTGGACCCGCTGCCAACCGGAAACAAGAACAATGACTCATTAAAGTGCCAATAGGGGGTAGAGGATGGACTGGTCGCGACGAAAACAAATACAATGCGGCGTGAGTAAGGAAACTCGCGTATTCCTCAAAGTTCGAGCGCAAACTAGTCGCGACGCAAACCGGCATCAGAAGAGGCGGAGGCGGCAAAGTCGCGCGCAGCGGCTGCGTTGCCGAACAAACTAAGTTGGATTGATCACTTTTCATTTCAATGCTTAACCTTAAGTTGCTTCCACATGTGTAAACTTAGCGCTCATTCGCTGCGTCAACCAATATGGGTGATCGCTGCGCAGCATCTGACATGGAGCCAAGCACTGCCCGTCTTAAGAACAAGGCCTCAAGGCATCTAACAGCTTGCTGACGTCAGACAAACTAGTCCAGTCTTCCGCCCGTAAAGAATACATTGAGCCGCAGACCAAGCTAGGTTGTGATTATTGAAGAGCGATGGTTTCGTCATAACTTATCTGGCGAAATCATCTAGAAAAAACCTAAAAACCTCATCTCTAAAAAAGCGTCACTTAAAGACCGAGCAATAGCCTCAATTTTTCCAAATTGTCCTCGATAAGATATCAAACCTTGAAAATCGGCCTAACTCGGATGACGTCACGCGTAAGCGCCTTGTTCTTTAGTTTAGTAAATCGTAATCTGCCCCTGATCGAAGTACGCGACTGATGATGCCAGGTGCTTAACAGCAAGAAGACCCGGAAGGCCCAAAAACACCAGTTACGCAATGCTCCCTTAAACGTACATTCCATGTAAACAAGCGATTGAATTTTACCTAGGATTATCGCAAACGAAATGACTAATTGATATTTTCGCTCGCTCATCGTATTTGTATCGGATGCAATTAATTTAATGCCCCTAATTAATGACAGCAACTGGCGTTGCGATGCAATTAGCAAAACAAATCATGTCTTCTGGTCACAGTGTACACCATTAGTTAATTCGCGTTTCAACACAATCACGATAACTCAAACGCGGATGGCAAGCAGCACGAATTGAATGTATGGATTCTGTGGCTCGAATGGTGTTGAGAAACCTCGAAAAAAGCAGCGTTATGTTCAAGTGGATTTTGCAACTCAAAAAAAACCCACGCAAATCTAAAACTTCTTGAATTCAAGCATTTTTTGAGAAAACTG